CATTTCACTTAACATCATCTTATCTTACCTTTTCTGCTTGTCTCATATATATTAGTTATTGCAAATAAGGGAAACCATGGGTCCTATGTTTCTTTGGGCCTGCCTTACTTAATATATTTTTTTTCCAAGTCTTCCCATTTCCTAACAAATGGGGCAATGTCATTCTTTCTGATGGAAGCATAGAATTCCAGTGTGTATATATACCACATTTTCTTGATCCATTCATCTACTGAGGGACATCTGGGGTTCCATATCTTAGCTATGGTAAATAATGCTGCAATAAACATAGTTGTGCAGGTAGCTTTAGTATGGTCTTGTTTGTGATCATCTGGGTAAATGCCCAAAAGTGGGATTGCTGGGTCATAGGGGAGCTCTATGTGGAGTCTTTTGAGGAACCTCCATACTACTTTCCAAAGTGGTTGAACAAGTTTACACTCCCACCAACAATGCAGTAAGGTTCCCTTTTGTCTACATCCCCTCCAGCATCTGTTGTTATTAGAGTTCATGATTATAGCCATTCTAACTGGGGTGAGGTGGAATCTCAATGTTGTTTTGATTTGCATTTCTTTTATTGCTAGAGAAGTTGAGTATTTCTTCATGTGTCTATTGGCCATTCTTATTTCTTCAGAGAAGTTTCTCTTTAAGTCTTTAGCCCACTTATTTATTGGGCAGTTGTTTCTTTGAGGATTTGTTGCTGGGGGATTTAATTTTTAAGTTCCAGGTATATTTTAGATATGAGACCCTTGTCCATTGTATGGCTAGGGAAGATCTCCCAATCCATGGGCTTTCTATTGATCTTAGCAAGCTTTTCTAATGTTTTCTAGCTGATACTTGCTTTTAGGTAATGCTAGTATATAGAGATTTATAGATTTTCTAACTACAATTCAAAAGTAAAAGTAGTTTTCACAGAAGATCTGCTAGAATGGGAATGTAAGTCATATAAGTGTAAAGGAGGGGATAAGGATTTTTAAAAGGCCTAAGAAGAGCAAGTTATCAGTTAATAATATCAGAAAAAGATAACCTACTGGTCATTTTAGGGACCGGAATACCAAGCAGAAAGCAGACTAATACTGTACAAAGGAGAAAGAAGGAAAAAACAAAGAATATGTGATTACTTTTAGTGTCTGGACATTATTCTATAATTTCTTAAGAATTGGCAGGTGAGCTGATGTTCACTGGGAGACAACCGTCTGCTTTCCATCTGAAAGAAATTTTAGCCATTCAGATTTCATTATATCTGTGTGTTGTGCGAAGTCGAGTCCTGCTTTGACTAGTAATAGATATATTACATTCAGACAGTTGCCTCTAGGGAATATTATATAATAATTTTTTATAGAAGAGAATCCATAGGGGCTGGGAAGATGGCTCAGTGGTAGAGTGCTTGCCTTGCATGCCTAAGGCCCTGGGTTTGATTCCTCAGCACCACATAAGCAAAAAGAAAAAAAGCCGGAGGTGGCGCTGTGGCTCAAGTGGTAGAGCGCTAGCCTTGAGCTGAAGAGCTGAGGGACAGTGCCCAGGCCCAGAGTTCAGGCCCCACTACCGGACCCCAAAAAAAAAAGAATCCATAGATCAAGAAAGAAGAATTTAAGAGTTGACACTTCCTTGATGACATCATACCTACTAAAATTGTCAATCTGTGCTTAGTATCAGGAAATAGTGAATTAAAATCTTAATAGTGAGCCATTTCCTTCTCTTATGTTGAATCTTTTCCAAAATGTTGTTCCTTTGTAATCATTTTCCTTTGTAGGTGAGCAGCATGATCACTAAAAAGAGCAGATTGCTTCATTTATCACTTACTTAAAGTGTTAGGCCACATGCATGATAAAATGTGACAGAATGCAGCTCACAGCTTTATTTCCTTTTTTTTTTTGTCATTGTGGGGCTTGAACTCTTGGCCTGGGTGCTGTCCCTCAACTCTTCAGCTCAAGGCAAGTGCTCTATCACTAAGCCATAGTGGCACTTCCAGTTTTCTGGTGGTTTACTGGAGATAAGAGGTTCACAAACTTTCCTGCCCAGGCTGGCTTTGAACTGCGATCTTTAGATCTCACCCTCCTGAGTAACTAGGATTACGGGCATGAGCCACCAATTATTTTTTCCCAATCTGTATTTGGATGTTTTCTTCTTGCTAATCTAATCATTAGGTATTTTTAATAGGGTTTTACTCAATAGAAAAGCTTCTGCCTGTATCCCTGACTTGTATATTGAATAAAAGGTTGATTGCATTGTCTTTGGTTTGCTGATGTTATTTTTTTTATTCTGGTTGCCTTCTATCAATTGTGATACTACTCTCCTTTGCTCTTTAAAAAAAAAAAATCTTTGTTTTTTGTTCAGTGGCATCTAGGCTTAGAACTCAACTTATATCCTCTCTAGTTATTTTCTAGCTTCTTCATCTCAGACAAAGCCCATGTTGTGCTCTCTTTCTCTCTTTCACACACACACACACGCACACACACACACACAGCACTGCACAGGATTCTTGGAATTGCCTATTTTTACAAAGATATCAGAAGTTCAACTACTTCAATTACTTCAGTTCAATTACTACACTATGTGATTTTTTTTTCTTCTTTTTGAATTATTATTTTTCTTTCTACTTCACTGTCTGGTAAATTTGTCTTCAACATTCATGAAGTGTTATTGTCAAACAGTTAATAAAATTTTTATTTCCAAGAGCTATAATACTCATTGGTTCTTTGGTTCTTACTAGAAAAACAACTGTGATCTAATGGTGTAAGTGCCTCAAGACAAGGACTGAGGATGGATACTGTAATGTATGTCTACCAGGATCACATGCCATTTCATTGTTTTCTATGTAATTCTCATGATAGTTTCCATTTTCTTAGTACTCCCCATTTCAGAGCAAAGAAAGCAGATGCTGAGAGTTTGACCAAGCTCATGCAGCTAACGTAGCTTTAGTCATTTTTTGAGTTGAACTCAGATCTACTCAGTCAAGATCCCAAACTATTAATCACTACTTTCACCCTCCACATTTCTGAACTTATGGCTACTAAAGAGTCTCTGAGACAAAAAATCAACTCATGAACTTCATAAAGCAACATCTGAAAAGCTGTTAAATAAAAAAAGAGGCAATATCCATACCATAGTGGTCAATAATTGATTAATTGGCAGGTAACCACATCTAGCACTCAGTTTCCTTATCTGAACCAGTAGGACAATAATACCCTAAATGTCCATAAAAATTAAATGGAACCTATATAAAGTGCTTGTCAAAAAGAGGACAGTGACTTTGTAGATTATGGATGAAGGAGAAAATCAGTCATATGGATTTGATGGCAGCCTTAACTAGTACAGCATTGGTTTCCTCTTATATAACCTGAAGTCTGGAGGCAAGTATAGTCCTTGGCTGAGACAGTAGTTTCTCCACCTTGCATCCTTGGTACAAGGTGTCCACTAAAACTCTGAACATTATATATATATCTGCATCTTAGATGGAAAGAAGAGAACAAAGAACCCATCTACTCTGGCAGCCACACTCTCATATCTTTGCTATGTCTTACTAGCCAGAAAGTCAAGTGTCACTCCATCTGCAAAGTGTTGGCTAACAACAAAAGTTGAACCATTAGCAAGAAAGCAAAGGGTTGGTGTGTATGTGTGTGTACATGGAAGCTTGATGATTACATGCATGTATTATACGCCAGAAGCAGCAGTAAAAAGAACATACACAAAATTGGGAAAGAAGAGAATGGTCCGCCATCAGTAGCAATTCTACGCAATAGTAGAAGTAGGTTGAAGAGAGAAGATGTTCCTGCTATGTACAATGAAGTATGATTAAAATATGAAGGAACTTGGGCATTTCAAAATAATGACACAATTTTTAAAGGTCATGTACATGTCCTCAATTGGTTAGAGAGTGATAAGAAAGCCTCTGGGTTGGGCTTAGATTCCACAGGGACTCATTACCTCTTATCCTCTGTCTTTGGTCAACCTTGTAAGTTTAGTCCAGATAAAATGCTGACTTATTTTTCTTCTCAACTTACTCCCTTTCTTAGGGAAAAAGTGAACCAAAACCACAGAAAACCCCCTTAATAGAAAATGATTAATAACATCATTTTGGCTGTAAAATAGAAGACATAGGCATGTAGTTGGCTTCGGGTGCAGGAGGCATTGTAAGAAGCCTGTTGTCATCAGCCAGCACACTGGGTCCTTCCCCAGAGAAAGCTCTTCATGTTGGAGGTCTCCTTAACCTCCAGATGATCTAGTGATTTGCTAATGGTTGATTTCATTAGACTGATCTTTAATGGAAAATACACTTTCAATGCCCAGGCTCCATTGTTCAAACCAAGTAATCAAAGGTTAATTTAACCTTGAATATATGATCAGATTACATTTAGATTATATTTGGTCTCATTTTGTTTGACAAAGCTGACTTTATCTGAGGACAAATTAAAATAGAGCTACTCCAAGTACATTTTTTTTAAGGTTGAAATAAAAGGAGAAAAAAGTAATTCTATAGAACGGTAATTTTAATGATATTGAGTTTCATTAAAAAAAAATCTAGTTGGCAATATTAAGAGCCAAGATTATAAACAACAGGTGAAAGATTTTTAAAAGCCATATTATTAATGGATTAAGTAAAATTTATGCATCCCTATAGAAGATGGCTGGAATATAAGAAAATATAGCTCAGAATGGATACTATCCAAGTTTACTACTTAAAGTATCTTATAATGCAAGGAAATGGATGGAAATGATGACTGATTTTTTTCATCCATCTTCCAAAAATATGGTTATAATGTGAATTTTTAATTAAGTTTTTTATTGTGAAAATACTGTACAAAGGGGTTACAGTTACATGAGCAAGGTAATGAGTACATTTCTTATCCAGGATTGTTGCCTCCTCCTTTGTTCCCACCTCTTCAGCTACACCTCCCCCTCCCCCCCCACCCCATGCCTAAATTGTAAAGTTTGTTTTTCGACATAGCATCTTGTACATCTCATATAGTGTGAATTTAACATGACTGATCTTAAGAAAGGACTGTGTGCTCGCTTTGGCAGCACATATACTAACATTGGAACAATACAGAGAAGGTAAGCATGGCCCTGCGCAAGGATGGACATGCAAATTTGTGCAGCCTTCCTTATTTTTACATTTATCTGAATTGGGGAAAGGAAGGGGAACAACAAAATAGTGAGACAAAGGACAATGGGTGAACCAATACAACATACTCACAAGACAGTATGTTGGAAATGAAGTGTACAACTTGTGGGTGGGGGCTGGTGGGGAGGGAAAGTGGGAGAAAAATAAGGGAGGGTATAACAAATTTGATAAGAAATGTACTCACTACCTTACATATGTAACTCTTCTGCACATCACCTTGACAATAAAATTAAATTTTAAAAAAGGACAGTGGTGGCTCACGCCTGTAATCCTAGCTACTCAGGAGACTGAGATCTGAGGATCATGGTTCAAAGCCAGCCCGGGCAGGAGAGACCGTGAGACTCCTATCTCCAATAAACCACCAGAAAACCGGAAGTGGCGCTGTAGCTCAAGTGGTAGAGCGCTCGCCTTGAGCTGAAGAGCTGAGGGACAGCGCCCAGGCCCAGAGTTCAAGCCCCACGACCGACAAAAAAAAAAAAGGACAGTGGTGTGTGTGTGTGTGTGTGTGTGTGTGTGTGTGTGTGTGTGTGTGTGTGTGTGTGTGTGTGTGTGTGTGTGTGTGTGTTTCTAAGACTGAATTCAGGACAAGGTGAATGCTAAGTACAAACTCTACTACTGTGTTATACTCCCATTCCTAGCTGTATAAATATGTTTTGACTGTAGTCATATAATTTATATTTTAAAAATAGGCCATTCCAGAGAAGTTTCTTGACTATTAGGTTAAAAGTACTAGTCACAAAAGAATTCAGAAAAGTAAAAAAAAATTGCTTCACTTAGTGAAAAAGGAACATTTGAAATCTGAAGAAAAAATGCACATGCTTTTTACCAAGAGTCCAGAAGTGAGCCTTGCAGGTTACAGGCTAGTTGGTCATTGGCCTTGGAGGAAGACAGGCATACTTATGTTCTAGGTTACAGGCTAGTTGGTCATTGGCCTTGGAGGAAGACAGGCATACTTATGTTCTATGGTTAAGAGTTGAGCCCTTTGCATTATGCTGGTGATTGACTTTGCTTGCTTCAGCTACTGGGGTTTTGCCATTATAAAGATAAGAGCTCATGCAATCATCCAGAGGCCCTGATATTTATGTAGATGGACTCTCCATGGCCTGAAAAGTTCAGTGTTACCTAATTTCAAATCACCACTAGGCATGATTGGACCAGTACAATGTTTCTCAATTTCTCGGAGCTTTGCTACATATTTCTGCCACATAAAAGTCAAGGATTTATTAAATTAAATCTCTGTCTCCTGATAATAAGATCTGTGACTGCCCTCTTATATCAGAGTATATTCCCAGTGTCCAACATGAGATGTCAAGTATTTCTGTCTCTACCAGAATAAATTCAAGCATCTCTGAAACAGTCCAGATATGCCAGTTTTTTCTAAAGTTTATTTTGTATATTAAGAACACAATGTTGAAAACATTGTTTTGTTTTTTCTCTTGCCTTGTGTATTATTGCCAGCGGTGGGGACTCTGAAGTCAGAGTTTAGTCAGCAATATTTTTGATTCATGAGGCAGAATAGCAGGCATTTTGCTCTTCTATAGCAATATTGGTTCTGCAGGGGAGGTGCTTGTAAAATATTTATTTTACTGAGTAAACTAAGCCGACATGAGTCAGAAGACACATGGGAAAGAAATATGTGTCCTTCTGAAGACGGTGTTTTTGCAAAGGCTTTCTCTGACAATAACCATACTTTATATTTCTATCCTTTACATTATTCTGTAATTTCTATTACAAGCATAAAATAAATTTACACTTTCCTTTTTTAAAGACAGCAGTTATAGGTTCTGCTATCAATCCTTCAAGTTCAAGTATATTTTTATGGTCTGAAGCAGAGTGATGTAGTAGCAAGCACATTAGACCAAATGGTAGAAGTTCTAGATTGAGTCCCCACTGGGTCATTTACTATATGCTCAGTCAAGCCTTGGAGTTTGTTCTCTTGATTTACATGTATTTCACAAGTAATGATCTTTAACTATCACACAGTGCTGATTTAAACAAGTATGACAATTCATGTATAAACCATTTGATTCTCCATAAATATATGGGATAATGAAGACACTATCCTGTCCATTATAAATGCAAGACTGATGCCATCTAAAGTATAAACAGAAGTGGGGAGGGGGAACTAATGATAGATCTTTGTGATTGAGGCAGTAAAGTTATTGATTGTGATGAGAATGGGAATTTTTTCTGTTTTGGAGGTCATGGGGCTTGAACCTGGGGCCTGAGCACTGTTCCTGAGCTCTTTTGCTGAAGGCTAACACTCTACCACTTTGAGCCACAGCACCACTTCTAAAGTTTTCTGGTGGTTAATTGGAGATAAGAGTCTAACAGACCTTCCTGCTGGGCTGGCTTCGAACTGTGATCCTCAGAGCACCTGAGTTATTAGAATCATAGGCATGAACCACTAGCCCCCAGTGGGAAAAGTTTTTGACATAAAATAGGTCTGAGATCTGATATTTTAGGGCAGATAGCATTTCTAGAAACACATTAGGTCAACTGATTCTTGTGATATTATCAGAACATTATAACCTATCTAAGTTTGAAATGCTTTTATAAATATTATATAATCAAATCAATAATATCCTTAATAAATGCTTTTAACTTTTAAAATATTGAAATGTTTTTGATACATGAAGTTATGTGGTTTGAATTGTTTATTCTCACATATGAGTTTGTGTTAGTAAGTAATTTTTTTTACTATTTTTATTGTAAAAATACTGTACAGAGGGGTTACAGTTACATGAGCAAGGTAATGAGTACATTTCCTATCAAGCATTGTTGCCTCCTCCTTTGTTTTTCCCCTGTAAGTAATTTTTTGAATGACTGTCTACATTTTTAAATAAGGAAATGTTCTCAGATGAAAACTGATGCTTTTATTCCTATACTTCATAATTTATATAGACCATGTGTGGTTTTTTTTTAATGGGTCTTCTTAAATACATACTCTTGGTGTTATAGGAAAATCCTATATTGCAATCAAAACTAATTTTACAGTAGATTTTTTAGTCATGCATACATTCCCAATAAACCTTACAACTTAGAAAGAGGAGCTTTAATTGGCCCTATTAAATCCACAGAGTAAGAACTGAGAGGTATCTCAAAAACAGTCCAAGGTTTTGTTTTCTACAATGCAGTAAAAATATGTGAAATACAAATATGACTGTGAACTTTTAAACTTTCAAAACATTAAAGTACAGTACAGGAAATATGTTTTGAAAAGTAGTCAGAAATCAAAGGTCAGTTCAATATGACTAACAAAATGAGAAATTACTAAAAGTGGTTTTCTTTCTTCCTTTTTTTTTTATTGAAGGAAAACATTCTGTCTGTAAATGTCATTCTCCTTAAAATGCTCAAAGTAATTTCCAAAAGAATAAATCTTTTATTGAGATTTTTGCACTGCTTATCCAAAAGTCTTCATTCTTTATACCTTACTTTTGACATTATAAATGTATATCATTTATAAAGTATAATTTCTTCAATAAATACATAATGATTACCTTTGCTTCTAGTGAAAGCAATGGAAATTCAGAGATGAGATAGCATAGTTGTGATTCAGGAGGAGAAACAGACATTTCCTGCTGATTGAACAAGGCTAAGACTGATTATTTTTTTTTAAAGACAATGAGTATTTTAAAAGTTAAAAGCCAAAGAAGAGAACAAATTATATTTTATCATAATCTACCATGATAATGTGTGATATTTATAGCATAACAAAATGTAGTGGCTTAACAGTGCGCATTTCACGTGTAAACCTTGACAGGTTCAGCAGTGTGGTTCTCCTCTATTTGGCATCAACTGAGGCTGCAGAGATCTATAAAGGTGACTGCTGAGTCATCAAGGGTAGCTCAGACTCATCTGATTGGCAGTTGGTATTGGCTGCATGGTCCTCATGTATCTTGGACTCTACATGGACTCTCAATTTGGCTTAGACTTCTAAGAATATGGCAGCTGGGTTTCAAAGGGACTCTTTCAGACAGTGAAGGAAGAAACTGAGTTTCTTCCTTGAAGCCTAGGTTCAGAGGTTATGTAGTTTCAGTCCTTGTCCTGCATATCAGACATGTTTAAAATTGTTTTAACTACTCTTATGGCTTGTATTCCCTTACGAATTTTAAGTAACTTTGTATAAAATGGCAAATGGTACACCTGGGTTTTGAATCCAGTTCTGTGCAGCATATACCATAATGTACCTACTGCATCTGCTTTCCAAGAGGCAAAGCAGATAACCCAGTACAACTACATTTTGGGAGTTTTATAGTAAGTATTTAGGAAGATACTAACCATGTCTCACTATGTAGTCTTCCTTTCCTTCCTTTACAACTTTGGCCAGGGATGGGGGCGGGGGGTGGGGTAGGGGGCTGGGGGGCGGTGGGAGATGGGAAGGGATGGGAAGGGGGAAACAAAGGAGGAGGCAACAATGCTTGATAAGAAATGTACCCATTATCTTGCCCATGTAATTGTAACCCTTCTATAGGGTATTTTCACAATAAAACAAAACAAAACAAAGCCATTACCTGTTTATTTTTCCATTAATTTTCACCTCAACGTTCTCCAATGGATAGATACTTCACTACATTTCAAATTCTTTGGTGTTCCTTTGCATATAGTAGTTTCACTTTGCATTTGATTCATTGCTATATTATGCACATTCTAGACTCTGTGTCATCATCTTGGAGGTACTATTGATAGTATCTAAAATATTGCCATAAAGTTCTATATGCTGTCACGTTGCATTCCAGTGTACTCCTCTCATGTTATCCTGTTATTTTTCTTTTATTTCTTCCTCCCTCACCTTGTCATATTGTTATGCTACATTCCATATTTTCTTGATGAACTTGAAGCTTATAAGTTTAGTAAATTGGATTTGAAGCTACAGATTCCAATTCTCTGCCACTGACACCAACTATCACAACTTTGGGACAACTTCGCCTATTAAAACTGACCTCACAGTGTTAGTTTGAACATAAAAAAATAGATATGTAAAATAT